TTCTCCCGAGGCTGAGGTGTGTGGATCACCTGAGGTCAGGAGTTCGAGACCAGCCTGGCCAATGTGGTGAAACCCCATCTCTACTAATAATACAAAACTTAGCCAGGCGTGGTGGCAAGCATGTGTAATCCCAGCTACTTGGGAGGCTGAGGCAGGAGAATCACTTGAACCTGGGAGGTGGAGGTTGCAGTGAGCTGAGATCGAGCCATTGCACTCCAACTTGGGCGACAAGAGCAAAACTCCATCTCCAAACAAAAAAAAGAAAAAGAATGAAATTATGTCTTTTGCAGCAACTTGGATGGAGCTGGAGGCTGTTATTCTAAGTAAAGTAACTCAGGAATGGAAAACCAAATACTGTATGTTCTCAGAAGTGAGAGCTAAGCTATCAGTACACAAAGGCATACGGAGCGGTATGATGGACACTAGAGACTCAGAAAGGGGAGGGTGGGAGTGGGTGAAGGATAAAAAAACTGTAAAATGGATACAATGTACACTACTTGGGTGATGGGTGCACTAAAATCTCAGAATTCACCACTATATAATCCATCCATGTAGCCAAAAACCACTTGTACGCCAAAAGCCACTGAAATAAAAAGAATTAAAAAAATTTAAAAATGTGAAAAAATGAAAATAAAAACCACACCTGTCCAAGCTAGGTGTGGTGGTGCATGCCTATAGTCCTAGATACTCAGGAGGCTGAGGGCGGAGGATTATTTGAGCCCAGGAGTTCGAGGTCAACCTAGGCGACATAGCGAGACCCCATCTCTAAAAAATAAACCAATCAACAAACAACCTCTTTCCAACTTACCGCAAAACACACCTTTCCCAAACGTCAAGTGATGCCCTCCTTCTGGTATATAAGAATTCCCAGCCGGGCGCGGTGGCTCACGCCTGTAATCCCAGCACTTTGGGAGACTGAGGTGGGTGGATCATTTGAGGTCAGGAGTTTGAGACCAGCCTGGCCAACATGGTGAAACCCCATCTCTACCAAAAATACAAAAATTAGCCGGGTGTGGTGGTGCACACCTGTAATCCCAGCTACTCAGGAGGCTGAGGCAGGAGAATCAATGCAACCTGGGAGGCAGAGGTTGCAGTGAGCTGAGATCACACCACTGCACTCCAGCCTGGGTGACAGAGTGGGAGTCTGTCTCAAAAACAAAAACTGTCCGGGCACAGTGGCTTACGCCTGTAATCCCAGCACTTTGGGAGGCCAAGGTGGGTGGATCACATGAGCCCAGGAGTTGGAGACCAGCCTGGCCAACATGGCAAAATCCCGTCTCTACCAAAAATACAAAAAAAAAAAAAGGTTAGACGGGCATGGTGGCATGCACCTGTAATCCCAGCTACTCAAGAGGCTGAGGCAGGAGAATCAATTGAACCTGGGAGGCGGAGGTTGCAGTGAGCCAAGATTGCATCACTGCACTCCAGCCTGGGCAATAGAGTGAGACTCTGTTTCAAAAACAAAACAAAACAAAACAAAACCAAAAAACAAAAAAACAGTAATGGGCTTTTGGCTGGGCGCGGTGTCTCACGCCTGTAATCCCAGCACTTTGGGAGGCCGAGGCAGGTGGATCACGAGGTCAGGAGTTCGAGACCAGCCTGGCCAACATAGTGAAACCCCTTTCTTTACTAAAAAACACAAAAATTAGCTGGGCATGGTGGCGCATGCCTGTAACCCCAGCTACTCTGGAGGCTGAGGCAGGAGAATTGTTTCAACCTGGGAGGCGGACGTTATGGTGAGCCGAGATCAGGCCACTGTATTCCAGCCTGGGCAACAGAGTGAGACGCCATCTCAAACAAAACAAAACAAAACACACCAAAAAAAAAACCAAAAAAACAAAAACTGATTGAGCTGACTAGGTACCAAAGATACCACTATGAATGACAGAGATGAAGTTCCTACCTTCATGGAGTTTATGGCCTAGTGAGAGCAAAAAAAAAAAGTTTTTGTTTGCTTTGCTTTTTTAACACGTAGATGTTTTCTAGCCACGTTGTCTGTACTCCATCATGTTCTGGTCAGGGTTGGAGTACCTCTGGGACCTTTGAACCTTGTGTTTCTGGTGCCAAAGTAGTTGTGAACCTTGGGCTTAACCAGTGGTGTGTTTGTAAATGTTTAATGACCAGCTCTCTGGGTGGGGTAAGGTATGTGTATGTTTGTGTATGTTTATGTACATAAGCTAATTAATTACAAATTTTACTGATGTAAAGGATGTGTAGTACACAAATTATTCATAACAATAAAATATACAATATTATTTGTTGTAAATACAATATAGCCAAGTGATTCTCACAGAATGCTTTCATCGATTGTTGCCCAACTCTTGTTGCACTTGAACAAATGTAGTTCTTTTTTGTTCTTTTTTTTTTTTTTGGAGACAGAATTTTTGCTCTTGTTGCCCAGGCTGGAGTGCAGTGGCACGATCTCGGCTCACTGTAACCTCCGCCTCCTGGGTTCAAGCAGTTCTCCTGCCTCAGCCCCCTGAGCAGCTATTACAGGTTGGCACCTAATCAACACTCAGTAAACATAGTAGATGCTCAATAAATATTAGTTGGATGAATGGATTAAATAAACATTTAATCTACTGTTACCCAGAACTTTACTATTATTATTATTATTATTATTTTATTTTTTTGAGACAGAGTCTCACTCTGTTGCCCAGGCTGGAGTGCAGTAGCATGATCTCGGCTCACTGCAACCTCTGCCTCCCAGGTTCAAGCGATTCTCGTGCCTCAGCCTCCCGAGTAGCTGGGATTACAGGGGTGTGCCACCATGCCCAGCTAATTTTTTGTATGTTTAGTAGAGACGAAGTTTCACCATGTTGGCCAGCCTAACGAACTCCTGACCTCAAATTATCCAACCGCCTTGGCCTCCCAAAGTGCTGGGATTACAAACATGAGCCACCGTGCCTGGCTGAACAAATGTAATTCTGACATGAATGTTGGTTGATATTTTCATTTAAGTGAGAAACAATGATGTCAGAACTGCATTCATTTGTCCACAATGTGAGTGATTTCTATTTTTTTTTTTAATGGAGTCTCACTCTGTTTGCCCAGGCTGGAGTGCAGGGGTGTGATCTCGGCTCACTGCAACCTCCGCCTCCCGGGTTCAGGTGATTCTCATGCCTAAGCGTCCTGAGTAGCTGGGATTACAGGCGCACGGCACCACACCTGGCTGTTTTGTATTTTTAGTAGAGACAGGGTTTGGCCATGTTGGCCAGACTGGTCTTGAACTCCTGGCCTCAAGTGATCCGCCAGCCTCGGCCTCCCAAAGTGCTGGGATTACAGATGTGAGCCACCGTGCGTGGCCGATTTCTTTGCTGAATAGGTTAGTGGTTTTCAAACTCTGGAAGACTGTTTTCTCATTTTTTGGTATGACTCACAATCTGACAGCTATAGGTATGGCACATCTTTGAGTTTTATCTGCATTATTAACATTGTTTCTATTGCTTTCTTTCCTGTAGATAGACAACAAAAGAATAGATCAAGCCTGATTTATAGCATTTGCTGATTTCTGAGTTGTAAGTGTTCCCACCATGGCTGATTTCAAGCAGTTAACTTCAATGTGATGTTGGGAAGAGACGCAACTGCACACTATTATACAGTATTTCAACTCTACAGATACTGTAGACATAAATAATCTGAAGAGCACAGGTAATAGTAAAATGAAGGCTGGTCACGGTGGCTCACGCCTGTAATTTCAGCACTTTGGGAGGCCGAGGCGGGAGGATCACCTGAGGCTGGGAGTTCGAGATCAGCCTGACCAACATGGAGAAACCCCGTCTCTACTAAAAATACAAAAAAATTAGCCGGGCGTGGTGGCACATGCCTGTAATCCCAGCTACTTGGGAAGCTGAGGCAGGAGAATCGCTTGAACCCGGGAGGCAGAGGTTGTGGTGAACTGAGATCGTGCCACTGCACTCCAGCCTGGCCAACAAGAGCGAAACTCTGTCTCAAACAAAAACAAAAACAAAAACGAAAATGATTAGGATATGATGAGTTTTGGGACATTGATTACCTTCGTTTTCAATATAATTTATTTAATTGTAATTTTATATATTTAAAAATAAGTGCTATGCTTAATGACTGACTCACAAAACTTCTGAAAATATAGCATCTGGTGCTAATGGGCCAGAAGGAGCCAGCTCCAGCGCATACCCGGGGCCAACTATATTTCCAAGTCCTGAATGACCCTCATCGCTACTCCCATGCCCCTTTGCCATTCATTCAGGGCCCCATAGCCCACCACCTTTGATGGGAGCTCCCGGATTCCAAAGCAAACCCTGGCTGGCACCAAAGCCTCACTGCCACCTTGAGCAAGAGTTCTGGGGACAGATTGACAACAGTGGCTTTTCCATGGGTGGGTGGCCTCTTTTTGCCTGGGAAGGGATGGAAGAGAGCCAGGGACACTTGCACTGACTCTGGAATGCACACCTGGCAAGCACTCAAGTCTAAGAAGAGAAAGATAAAGGTGTGAGTGCAGGGGAGCTCTGGCTTAGCCCTCTGTCAACTTGGCCCTGCTCCTGGCTGGGCTGAAATTGATTTTGGAAGGCTTTCCAGAAAGGCTGGTGATGCTGGCGACTGTGAGCTGGGGGGCAGGGCAAACCTTTCTCTTCTGCCTCCAGGATGTTACCCAGAGCTCTGGAAGCTACTCCCAAGGGTGATCCGGTGTTTGCCCTTGAAGTCAACATTTTCGGTCCTATTTCCTTTTCAGCAGCAGAAGTGGCTGGCAGTGGGATTTGGGTCTGGGCCTCATGCTGACTGGCTTAGTCAGCTTTGGAATCTGACCCTCCCTGGTGAAGAAAGCTGGGCCAGCATTTGGGGCGGTCCTCAGCGTGCAGGCCCTATATGCTGTCTCCTTTGGGCCGCACATACTTGTCTTTGCTCCTCAGGTAACCCCTGGGAAACTTATCAGGTGCAACTGCTCTGATGCAGTTGGGGCAGTGTTGTGATGGGCTGCTCTGATGTCATTGCATGAATGAAGGTTCTGTGTTTGCACCTAGGCTGGCAGCTCTCCAGGGGCACAGTCCTCAGCCCCACCCTAGGCAGCACTCAGTAGAAGGACCAGCCCTCAGAGACTGGCTGAATGAATTGATGAGTACAAGCCTGGCTGACATTCAAGATTTCTTGCTGGTGAAACAGAAGCACAGTGTGGAATCCTGTGTGGAAGTGCTCGTCTTGACGTCTTGTACAAAGAGTGTCCTTCATTACTGCTAACACTTGGGGGGAGGGGAACCTCACTAATCCCCCCCGTGCCCAACACATACACACACACAAAGGTTTCTACTAGCCAAATGTTCTGTAACCAGGAAGTTCAGATGCCATTTTTTTCTCCCCATCTATGAGAAGTCACCTCTGTCCCCACCCACATGTGCACCGCTACACGCTGTGCCTACCAGGGCTGGCAGAAGTGTGCTGGCTGGGAGCGATTTGCTCTTGGCACCAGCCTGAGAACATCCTGTGCGACTGAGAGGGTGGTGCTGCCCTCCCTGCAACACAGGGATTGGGAATTGATTGGGGTGAGGGTGCAGACACTAAGAACTCAATGCACTCTGAAAGGGGAGGGCTCCAACCTCAACAGAATTACAAGTGCGCCACTCCCTGCCATGCCGCCTGCATCCCAGCATTCACACACATCCTCCAGCAGATGCTGTCTGACACTATTCACAGGGGTTTGGAAAAAAGGGAAGGCCTGCCATAAAGTCTGCAAAGAGGTGTGACTATGGAGTTTCAGTAGGAAAAAAATCTCTGGGGGACCACAATTCCTGTTGTCCTTATGGCTATGGGTCATGGTTATGGTTACGGACAATTAAGGAGGCGATGTAAAAACCACTGTCCAGGAACCCTCCCTGCATGTCCCCGAGGATTACACCTCTACACCCTTGTCAATATGTCCTGGGCTTTATGACCCTGTGAGTGCACCCAGCTTTGAAAGTTCTGGTGTTTGCACGTGTGTGTGTGTGTGTGAGAAGGAAAGAGAGACAGTGAGAGACAGAGAAAATTAATACTCTTGTTTCCAGACCAGACTTTGCTCCTGTGCTCGAAACACACACACTTCCATCCAAGGGCCTCCTGGACAGCCCCACTTACATGTCCTATAGGCAACTCAGATTGAATCTACCCAACACAACTTGTCATCCTTTCCTTGCCCCTCAAACTCACAGTTTGTCCTGCCTGATGATCCCTTTCTCAATGAGTGGCACTGCCACTCACGTATCTGGCCAAGCAGGAAATCTGGGCACACACTCGTCTCACACCCCCATAGGCCTAGTCTTCAGGTCAGGCCCCCATCTATGTAGAAGTGCAGCAACGCCTCCTGATGAGCTTTCCTGCCTCCAGATCCCCCGGTATCCCCACCCCACCCTCCAATCCATTCTCAACCAACCAGTCCCAAAGGAAGTGCCCAAGGCAGCAGGAAGCAGACCTGCCTGACAAACAAGTCTTTCTCTCCGGATTGTAGGTGCCTGATGTTCCCCCTTATTCCAGTAGTTTCTGGGGACAGCGCTGCCGTATTAGCTAGCTCACCACTCTAGGTTATCTGATTCACCCTACTGGCATTGGCATTGGCAGAAAGGAAGGAATGTGAACTGAGAAGAAAGTTTTGAGACTGGGCGCGGTGGCTCATGCCTGTAATCCCAGCACTTTGGGAGGCTGAAGCGGGCGGAATACCTGAGGTCAGGAGTTTGAGACCAGCCTGACCAACATGGTGAAACCCCGTCTCTACTAAAAATACAAAATTAGCTGGGCAATGTGGTGCGTGCCTCCCAGCTACTCAGGAGTAGTCCCAGCTACTCAGGAGGCTGAGGCAGGAGAATTGCTTGAACCCAAGAGGTGGAGGTTGCAGTGAGCCGAGATCGTGCCACTGCACTCCAGCCTGGGCAACAAGAGCAACACTCCGTCTCAAAAAAAAAAAAAAAAAAAAGTTTTGATACCAATGAGGAAGTCAGGGGAAGGCCCAGAGAAGGATATGCGCACGTTCATAGGACCAGAGGGGATTTTTGGGGAGTGGCTTCCTGAAAAGGTGTGGGCTGGGTTCTGAAGGGACAGCCCATGAGGAAGCCCAACCCCGAAGAAGGCAGGGCCGGTGGAAGGGAGAGGTCTCAGCTTGCCAGCTCCTGCCACGACAGGTGACTGTGCTTCCCTCCCAAGGTCTTTCTGTGGGGAGAGCCAGCAAATAGCTCTCTGAAAAACTGACAGAGCCACACATTTCTTCCTTTGGGTGGGCAGATCCTGATCCTCCTCAGAGTCTGAGGGAGGCTTTTTCTCTTACAAAAACTCAAGTCTCTTCTTAACCCCCATCCTCTAGGCCAGCTGGAGAGACAGCCCCCTATAAGATATAGCTTGCACCAACCCCTCTCCAGTCCTGCAAGGTGACATTGACGCCCACGCTCTTCCGTGGCTGCCTCTGACATCTCCAGGACACTGCCCCAACCAGTCCTCCAGGATGTGACACCACCAGACTTCTTGGGAAGAGCCCACCGTGCCTCATTCATCTTTGTGTCTGTACTGTGATGTGTTGCTCAAACATAACCAGAGCTAAGAAGATGACCACCATGCATCCTTCTACTCAGCCTGCAAAATGCCCATCTTTTCTGCATCCTGGTATTTCCTCCAAGGTCAACCCCTTTCCCTACACCCTTTTTGTTTTTTGTCTTGTGTTTGCTTTTTGGAGACAGGGTCTTGCTCTGTTGCCCAGAGTGCAGTGGTGTGATCATGGCTCACTGAAACTTGACCTCCTGGGCTCAGTTGATCCTCTCACCTCAGCCTCCTGAGTAGCTGGGACTACAGGTGCGTGCCACCACACCTGGCTAATTTTTGTATTTTTTTGTAGGGACGGGGTGGTCTCTCTATGTTGCCCAGGCTGGTCTTGAACTCATGGCCTCAAGAGCTCTTCCTACCTCGGCCTCCCAAAATGCTGGGATTACAGGCATGAGCCACCATGCCTGACCCCTTTCACTCCTTTGAGAATACACCTTTTATTGCCCCAAAGTCCGATTCTGACCATGGTGAGCAGGTCTCTTCAAGATCTAGCTTCTGCTTTCATTTCTCACCGCTCCCTCCCTAATCCTTGGTACTCTGTGTCTTGTCATACTTTTATTTATTTATTTATTTATTTTTATTTTGGGACACAGTCTCACCCTATCACCAGGCTGGAGTACAGTGGCATGATCTTGGCTCACTTCAACCTCTGCCTCCCGGGTTCAAGCGACTCTCCTGCCTCAGCCTCCTGAGTAGCTGGGACTACAGGCGCGTGCCACCATGCCCAGCTAATTTTTGCATTTTTAGTAGAGATGGGGTTTCACCATGTTGGCCAGGATGGTCTCGATCTCTTGACCTTGTGATCCCCCCGCCCGGGCCTCCCAAAGTGCTGAGACTACAGGTGTGAGCCACCACTCCCGTCCTATACTTAAAAAACTCTTTATTTGGAAGTAATTTCAGGCCGGGTGCAGTGGTTCACGTCTGTAATCCCAGCACTTTGGGAGGCCGAGGCGGGTGGATCGCCTGAGCTCAGTAGTTCAAGGCCAGCCTGGCCAACATGGTGAAACCCCGTCTCTACTAAAAATGCCAAAAAACGTCCCTATACTTAAAAACTCTTCGTATTGGAGTAATTTTCACGGCCGGCGGTTGCCCAGGTGGTTTCACGGTTTGTAATCCGCATCTTTGGAGGCCGGAGGCGGGTGGATCGCTGAGGCTTCAGTCAGTTCAAGCCAGCTGGCCAACATGGTGAAACCCGTCTCTACCAAAATTGCCAAGAAAAACAAAAAAAAAAGGAGCGGCAGGAGGAATCACTTGAACCCTGAGAGGTGGAGGTTGCAGGGTTGAGCTAAGATTGCACCACCATGCACTCCAGCCTGGCAAGATTGTGAACTCCGTTCTCAAAAAAAAAAATAATAGATTTCCAATTTACCACAATGTGCAAATAAAAGAGCACTTTAGGAACATTTGGTATTACTCTTACCAGATTCATCTGCTTTTAACATTTTATCTCATTTCCTTTGATATTGTGTTCTCTTCTTTCTCGTCTTTCTCATACAGATACACACACATTACATGTATGTACCATTTTATACATCGGCAACTTGTTTACCAGCAGCTATACATTCACAATATACTATAACGGTCCATTATGTATTATACATTTTATATGCCATACTGATAAACGACCAAACACTTTTTCTTGAACCATTTTGAGAATAAGTTGTATATATCATGGTCTTTACTACTTACACTTCGACAGTGTACCATTTTCATAACAATAGGAGATATCTGGTTCAGATTTAAAAAGGGCCTAATGAATACCTGACCCTAGAGTGCTCCTGGTACTTGAGGAGGAAAAAATGTTCTAAAGAAATTCCACAGCATTTTTTTTTTATGGGAGTTCTGTTGTCACACAGGCTTGGAGCGCAACAGACGGGCTTGGTTCACTGACAACTCTGCTCCACGTTCAAGCAATTTCTTTCTCAGGCTCACATAGCTGGGATCTACAGGGGTCCCGTACCATTGCCAGCTAATTTTTTTTCTTTTTTTTGTAATTTTAGTAGTGACGGGGTTCACCCAATGTTGGGCCAGGCCTGGTCTTCAAACTCCTGACTAGGTGATCCAACCGTTCTCGGCCTCCCAATAGTGCTGGGATTACAGGATAAATGCACGCCCTGGCCCACGCATTTG